TTAAATTTTAATTTTTAATAAAATATAGTTATATATTTAAATTTTTAAATCTATTAAGATAGTAAGTTTAAATATGATTTTTTTATAATTTTAAAGGGAAAAAATGAATTTAGAAAATAGAGATATTTTAAATTTAAATTTTTAATAACTTGAGTAAAATTAAATTCTTTGTAAAAATAATACACACAAAAAAATCATTGTAAAAAAAAGACTAAATTTGATAAATACATTGAGTTTATTAATTTCGTAAACGTATGTAATTAGTTTAATTATAAAAAAATTATTGTTATTATTTAATGGCACATATTGTGGTTGTTAAATAAAATTAAAGGAAAGTTTTGAAATTTAACATGAATCATGAAGATATTCTCAATGGTGACTTTTATTTAAAATCCTTCTTATATTCGAAATAAATAATAGAAAATATCAATGGAATAAAAAGCAGAAAAAAAAATGGAAGAATTACTTTAGTAGAGCTATAGGGAACCACAAAGTGTTGGATCTTAATTTTATTGCAAAATGTTGATACTCCAAATGCAAACAAAGCATTAAAAACAACCTAAAAACCAAAGTCAAAACTAAATTATTGTCATTTATTAAAAAAAAAGGCATTTTAATAGATTAATTTATTCTTATTAAATAATAGCATCTCCATTTAAGGAAACTGTCTAAGCCCATTATTTGATACATATTTCAATGGTTAAATTATTCAAAGTGAAAGCAATGTCATTTGTACTGAAAGTACAACCACCCTTAGTTCTTCGCAATGTAATATCATAAAGTTGTCAAAGGGCAAATACCTATCAGTTATTCTAAACTTTATCCAATTAAGAGGAGTCAATTTGACGGTTGAAATGAAACAATTTGCAGGGAAAAATGCGATGTGAATATTCCAGACCCAAATATTCATTCAAAAACTCCAATAAACCTATAACAAATTTGAACTATGAGAAAACCTCAACATGGAGCAATTTTTTAGAGTGAACGAAACAACGAAATATAATATACATAAGTGCAAAGACACAAAAATAAAAGAAAACAAAATTACTCCAAATCGCATCTGAACCTTTATAAGTCGCACTATTAACTATGTATGATTTACGTTTTTAGAGGAAACATTCAAAATGAAAGGAAAACAAAATGAAATGAAACCAAGAATGAAGGGGATGTATATAATGTAAAGTATAATAGAGGAAGTGAGAGAGGATATACCGTAATGGAGAATAGATTATGCACCGATGTGTAGTTGGCTTAACAAAAAGAGAGGAAGCAAGAAAGATGAAATTATGAGAGTAGGAATAATGAGTGCAATTACTTAAAAAGGTTATTTAATGAAGAATAAAAGATTTTAAAAATATAGAAATGACAGTTACTTGTATTAAGATGATGGTTATTAAGAGTAAAAAGATCATACTAAAAGTGGAGACCAAATGGTGGTTATGAATATTTTTATTCCTTTTATATAATATTATATATTATGTTATATATATTATATATATATATATATATATATATATAAATAAGATTCATTTATTTCAAAAATAATTGTTAATAGATATTAATGATCGACATACCTTATTTTATAATTCATATTATATATCAAATTTGAATCCTTGAATTAAAAATCTTAATGTTTAAATGAAGTTTGTAAAATTTTTAAAAATTTAAAAATTATTTAATATTTTATTTCATAATTCAAATTAATATATAAAATATTTTTATGAATATCAATTAATTTAAATTAACAAAATAAAATATTAAATAACTTTCAAATGTTTTAAAACTTTACGGATTTATCTAAATATTAAAAAAATATTTAATAATTAAATTATTAAAATTTCATGAATATAAATTACTTAAAATAAGTATATATATATATACATAGAGAGATAGAGAGAGATTAATAAATATTAAAAAAAATAAAGCAGAAGCGAAATTTGCGAGTGAAATCAGCGGGTGATGCATCTTGGGCTATAAATTACCCCGCAATTAAAATGGTTGCACGTTGCACACCACTGTACTCCAAACTCAAAACTCATTAGTTTGGTTCGTTGCGTTTTTTCATCTTCATCGCTGAGAGCAGAGCGAAACCCATTTGGAACGTTTGATGGGTAAATGGGATCATCGTCCGAGGTACTTCCGCCGTCGAAGATCTCCGCTGCGTCCTCCCATATTTTACGACATCAATGCCCCTCTTCCTGGTATTTCCCAAATTCTTCCTTTTATCATTTTATTTTCTTCTCTTTTTTTCGCCAAAAAGAAAAATTATGGACTCTTCGTATTGCACTCTTTATGTTGGGGAGGGTAGGGATACTTTGTTGAAAATTCCACGATGCACTTAAAATCCCTATGGCGGAAAATAATTCAAATCCCACATCTTATTAGTTCGTAATAGTGTATATTAATGGTGAAAAATCCTTAACTTACTGGCCGATTTTGTAATTTGAAATAGGCATAAACTCATTATTGTATTATTGTAAGACATGGAGTGAATTGTAAGATTATAATTCGTTTCGGCACTTAAGATATTGTATTGAACAATTACGGGTAAGGCTTTGCAAACGGAGATATTTGATACCGTGGTTGAGATGAGTGTTAATCTTTGTGTGGAGAATGTTCGGAGGGAGGAGGAGTTCCTGCATTACACTCTCTTTCTAACATCGCTTGTAATTGGTTAAAAATTATTGAATACGAGGTGAGACTTACAAAATTTTGTGATAAAGAATGCATTTCTCTTGAAGGAAAGGGACGAGGAGAGGGGAGGGAGTGTTAAGGTTTTAATTATTATTATTATTATTATGACTGGGAATCCTTATAGGAAAAGTTGTAGGATTAACTCTTGGGTCGTAAGTGATGGTTAGGGAAAGTCCTCAGTAGAGTGGAAACTCGATGATACAAATACTTGAAATTGCTATTTGCCGGTGAAGTTTTCCTGGGGTTTAAATCCATTTTTGCAATGACCAACGACTATTGAGTGTTAATTTTTTCCATTTTAAACTAAAAAGGATTTGGAGTAACATAAAAAAAAAAAAAAAACCATTTTTAAAATACCCTCTTGATTGAGACTTTTTTTTATTAAAATAAATAAATAAAGAAATAAAGGGATTAAAATAGGAGATTATTGGGTTTTACATTCCAATCATCATTTATTTATTTTCATAAATGTGTTCATAAATTGGAAACCAAAAGTTAATCTTGCCTTCCTTGATATTCTAAAACCTTCCATCCAAACATGTAATTGGGAAACTGAATGGGTCAGATTAACTCCAAGGATTATATTTTTTGACAAAATTTTAAACTCTACTTCACTATTAAGCAGGTGAAGTTACACAGAATGAGGTGGGTGTTGTTGTGGATAGTACTTGGAATATATTATGGTTGATGATGTAATGTTAGAGATAAAATCGCAGGGCATCATGCTGCATATGATATTTATGAATCAAATAATGAGGAATAATATATCGTTTGCTTTACAATCATTTATGATTTCACAATAACAGAATAGATAGCACTTATTTTATCTTATCAATACACCTTATGATGACTGCTCTAATGAGAATATGACCAATATATTTCCAGTGAGAAAAGGATCAAATAGTGTATAGTTTGAATAAAAGGGATAGAGGAATGCCTAAAACAACATTAGAGAAACCAACACAAAATCCCCTCTCTAAATGGTTTGACTAAATATTTAGTTTTTTGTAGAGCCTGACGTCATTGGATTTATCTATATATCCAATCCTACCCTAAAAAGATACTTGTTTATTTGATATTTCAGTTCAATAAGCAAGGTGAATACGTATCATCAGCATTCTGATTTCCTAATTCTGGGCCAAATTATTATTTTCTTTTCTATTTGGAGTTAATTTCCCTTCAATTAGGTAATATTCCTTTATTTGTTGCTAGTTTTCTCTGATAATGTAATCTTCTTTTGCTTATGCTTTCCCATATTTATCAATATTGCACTATAGCACCATAGCAGGGTTGAGCAACCATGGGACATTGCAAAGTCAAGTTTGAATAGTGATGAATTTTCAATTACTGGCTGTTGCAGTAGCTGAAATAATGACCTCTCAGGCTTTCACAGTGCTATGTGATGCATTTCGGAAACCCAGTTTTTTCTCCCTCAAAACTGTATTGTTTTGGAGGTTTTTGTAGTGGTGAAATTTGTTGCTATATCTCTTTCTACCGAAATCTTGTTAAGAACCCAAGGCCATTGTTCTTATCAATAATTAAAATTTTGATTGCAATGGAAGAACCAAAATGAAGAAAAAAGGAAATGATGGCAAATTTATAGTTAGATGAGAAAAGTTAATTTGATGTCTGTAGTTACTTTGTAGTTACCTTTTTTTAGCTGTGGATGCATGCATTGTGGCCAGAAAATAAGAACCTTTATGGATTAACAAACATAGTTTTGTTGGCACTAAGGAGGCATTGCCAATGTATTTTCCTCGGAAGGATTGCCAATAACTAAATTCAGTCTTTAATGTTTAAAATAAGAATTGAGTTGATCAACGATTCAATGTAGTATGCAGTGACTTGGAATTGTCTGTGCTTTTACAATGACAATATTCTCTTTGTCGAGACTCTAATGATTTTTGATTTTAGGAAATTTCTTCACATTTAGAAATGTTATGTTCAATTGTATCGGTATATGGATATTTATTTAAACTTTTTGGGTAAACATTTTGCAATCTATCACTGGCTAGCAAATTTCTTTAATGAAATGTAGTTTTAGTTTTTTGGTATTTATGCATCCTTATTTGGTGTGGTTTGGTTTCTCACATCTATAGAATATATTTTGGTATTCAAGTAACCGTTCAATAAATTCTTTGTGGTGCTAAGACAGACTGACTGCTGCCTTCCATGAATGTAGTAGTATAGGTTGTATGATGCAGTGTAGTCAAAGGTGCCAAAAGGCAGGCCTAAGGCAAAGGCACTATGACAAAGCGCTAGAAGGGAGTTAGGGACTCTTGGATGTTGAGGCTTCTAGGAAACATGGATGGATTAATGGAATATGACACTGACACAGACATGGGAATATGTCAAATTTTGAAAATCATAGGACACAACATGGTTATGATATAACATAAATTTAATCTTAGATTAACATAAAATAAAAACCATAAATTCCAAGAGAGAATTCCTTTTAAAAATTAATATTAGCTAATGTAGACATTATAAAATGCTGAAATTTATTTAACTGTTACAGTATTCCGATTTGTATTTATATAAAAGTTTAAAAAATAAAAAGTAAAAAATTATAAAAACATAAATATGTTTTTAGTCCTTGTATTTGTAAAATGAATAAGTCTTGGTTTTAGTTCTAGTAAAAGAATTTTTGTTTTTCAAACTTCTAAAATTTAAAATCATTGTTTTTTGTCCTTGTAAAATAATAAGATTTTGGTCATTGTAAATTATTTTTATTTGATTTTCATCCTTCAAAATCTGAAATCACTAATTTTGGTCTCTAGTGTTCATTTAAAGATAGATAAAATAATAAATAACATTTATTTTAGGTATCTTGAAGATTTTTTAGAGGTATCACATGTTAATATAGTCTACACACTAGTAAGTGTCTCACCTAAGATGATCACTTGATCTTCTTTTTAACATATAAGCAATTAACGAGTGTCACATTATAGTAGGGACCAAAAACAATGATTTTCAATATGAGGGATGCAAAACAAAGAAAAGATTTTATAGGGACCAAAATCAAAACTCACTCAATTTATATAGACTAAAAAATATTTAAGTCAACTAAAAAATACAATTAAAAGTTCAAAGTGTCCCAGCAACAACTGTTGTGGATACATATCCAATGTGACTGCAACAAGACATGGATACTATTTACAAATGTGCGTGCTTCTTAGCTAACCCTGCTACGAGGCACATGCCTCCAGCACCTTAGACAGGTGCCCTACTTCTTTCTGGTTCAGACGGGCACAGCTTTAGCTAGCACCATATTTATTGACTTATTGTAAAAGACCCCAAATCCCCAGCCATCTAACTTGCCAAGTGTAATGCTAAAAGGGATAGGGTAGTCAATGTAATAAAAAAAAAATATCAGTCTGAGATTCAGTAGCCAACAGCCAAGAGTCTGCAATTGAACAAATATATTTGTTTTCTTAGGTTGAACATTCTTCTTTAGTGAGGTGATGAGAACTTTCACAACTTCCACTTTACAGTTTACACCATTTAGAGTTTCCTACACTGTTTTGATGCTTATCCCTCCATCAATTGAAGAGCCATGTGTTCACTTGAATGTTTAAAAGAGGTTTCAGTTGAAAATTGAAACTCCTCATGCTACTAAAAGAGGTGCCACCTCAGCCACTGCAATTACAGTTAAGAATAATTTATATATAAATTATAATATATGTGTTCACTTGAATGTTTAAGAGAGGTTTCAGTTGAAAATTGAAACTCCTCATGCTTCTAAAAGAGGAGACACCTCAGCCACTGCAATTACAGTAAAGACTAATTTATATATAAATTATAATATATATATATAATTATAATGTTGGTTGTTTTATAAGTCCTTTGGTTGCTATATATGTCATTGGTTTGGTTCTGTAGATTACTGGTTGACAGAAGTTTATAAAACATTTCAGAAATTTTTTGTATATTTTCATATAATTTCTCTGCATTTGTGGTTGTTGAGTTGAGTGTTGACCTACCAACACTAGAGGCTTTGACCCTTTCTTTACCTGCATTCCTTTATGTCTGTGAAAGTAATTACTACGATGACATGATGATTTATTATTCATTACAGGCTCCTCTGTCAATGTAACTTCAATATTCAATATACTGAATTTCTTGTTTTTTAATCTTGTCAGAGTATTGGAAGGATGGAATACCTCTGTGGGAGAAGAAATACTGCACTATAGTTGGATTGGTACCGTGGCAGAAGATTATTGATTCTAAGTTGTTGGTGTACTGCCACAATAATGTTTTTGATTGGAATGATTCAGCCGCTGAAGAAGCATTTCAAAATGCCAAAAAACGTTACTGGGCAAATATCAACAGCATTCCTTGTGATATTTCTCTGCCTGATCCAGATGCTTATATTGATCAAATAGATTGGGACCCTCATATTGATCCTGAACTGATTAAGGAAATAGATAGTGCTTTCTTTTATGTGCCTGATGAAGAACAGGAAAAAATCATGAAAAACAAAAGAACAAAAACTTCAGATAATGGTGAATATCCTTGGGAATGTACTGATACACCTCATAACAGAGCTTTAGAAAATAATAAAGTACAAGGATGGGACCAGGGAAACTCTGGAAATGTGGATAATACTGACAATCCATGGGAGTGTAACATTACTCGTGGAAAGGGAGGATTAACTAAAAATGCTTGGGAAGATGGTGTTCCTGTTGATCCATGGAGTTGGTATGAAGGAATGGACCATGACAATCAATGTCAGGGTTGGAATTCTGGAAACTTACAGAAGGATGATGGATGGGGTAGGGGCAGCTCTTGGTGCCAGCAGCAGTCAAATAATTTGGCTAACATTGGCAACTCTTGTTGGCAACGCCATTCTAGTCAACAGAATGTAACTTCAAAGAACACAGGATGGAGAAACAGTGGATCAAATGTGTCAGGATGGAAGCGACAGGAAAAGGCTGATGTTTCAAGTGATTTGCAATTTAGAAGGAATTATGGAGGTTGGACTTTCCGGAATCAGGGTAACCAGTGGAGGGAAGGCTCTCATCGAAATAATTTAGGCTATAATGGCTCTCAATTTCAAAGAAATGGTCGTCAAACAGGTCATTACTGGGGGAAGGAAAAAAGCAAAAAAAGGGATTTTGTCCCTTGATAGCCACTAGAACATACTCCGACTTTTTTCCTTTTGTAGGCAACAATTATTTTTTGTTTATACTGGTCTTTATTGTTTTGCCCGAGTTTAACTGTTTGTCTGGATTTTTGGAGGAAGCTGGTTTTGCTTTCAATAGTATATGGTATTTGCTTTATCCTTGAGGTTTGATGGGTTGTCACTTGTCTTAGAGTTTAGGTTTACAATACATAAAGGCCTTCTTCCTAAGAAATATATACGTCATGAAATTTGGCGTATTTCATCTTTGAGGTGTAAAGTTCATTTATTTCACTGGCCTGTATCATCATTTGCCTTGCTTTTAGTCCTCTAAAGACAAAAATTGGGTTGGTCTCATGAATTTTTGGGTTAATGGAGAACATTTTTTCAGTATCAGAGGTGACACCATCACTCCAGGATTGGATCTTATCACAACCTTACTCCTCAGCAAAGTTGGGCTGAATTTAGGTGATTTGGGAAATGCTGTATGTTGTTGGCGCTTGCATCTTTGAGCAATGTTTCAGTAAGGCTTCCTGCAACTAAACATCTTATTTTGTTCCTTATGTTTTTGCCATCAAATTCTCAAATTAAACAATTACGTGTGGATTTTTATTCTGATATTGAATAACCTACATTACGAATGTGTTGGAATTTTAAAAAAATCTCCACATGTCTATTTGATTTGAGAACTTGATGACATTGACATATGGAACTTGATCTTTGCTGTATTCATTTAGCTAAACTTTACTTGTATTATAGCTCGGATGTTAAAGAGTAATTGACCTATGAACCCAGTATAAAAGATAGTTCACTAATCGTTTAGCTACTGTTGTTCACTTTGAAGAATTGAAATTCATATCTGATGGCTTGATTTTTCTGTTAAATAGGGAATACCAGAATATTATGAAACAAAACTAGTAGCCCATTACATTCAAAAAAAATCTACCATGAGTCTTTTTGAATAATCTTCTCTGAAAGTATTTATGTAGAACTTTATCTAAACAAGTCCTAGTGGAACAAATATGCATGATTTTTCCTCACCATGCTTTTGTTAAGGCGGAATGTTAGCAATAAACTTTAACATACTTTTGTCAACACATTTTTTTATAGATGAATTCCGAAAGTTTCACGCTTTAATTAGTTCAACTGATATAAAAGTGTGTTGTTGAAGCTAATATTATCTGGTATTGAGCTTTTCGAAAGCAGCAGATAAGTAGGAGTTGGACACAGCAAGATTAGTTGATGGAACCGTTGGGATGATTGACATTTTAAGTGCATTGCTGCTTAACACCGATTCAACCTATAATTTAGTAAGATATAGATGTTTAGTGAAAGTGAGGCTCTACAACCATATAACGAGGACCAATATATGTCTTAATTAGAACTAGTTGGGAAATAAATGGATGGTTATTATATTTCCTTATTTCCTTTTTTTTTCCTGCATTAAAAAAAATAAAAAGTAAATAGTATTTTTACGAGCAGTTACATTTCACTTCTAAAATGGAAAAATATATATATATATATATATATA